GAACTCGACCTGGAAAGGTTGACCTGTGAGTCTGATCCCTTCATGACCAGGGCAGACACCCTGGCCCAATAGGCAGACACCCTGCGCCCAATGGGTTGTCTTCCTTCTTCCAAGGGGTCTTTGGGGGTCTCCATTTTTGAGCTACACACCCTTCGCGACAGGCTGAGTGTCTTGATGAATCGTGACTGACCTCAGAGTGATGCGTCATCGAGTCTTGCGGAGACCACCGAGGATGAAGGCGGGAGGGCGGGTCCATGTTGGGGAAAAGAATGGGATCCTACACCCGAACGGTCCAAGGACATGTCACCAGAGTCGGGCGGACGGAGTCCGATGGCCGCCCGAAGCTATCAAGGCCTTGTGATTGTGTGTTTAAGTAATATGTTTTATACAAATAAGATAATAAATTAAACTACCTTTGGTAGTGCTATGTAGTGCTAGTGCGTGCCAGTCTAAACATGGTCGTGTTGCATGTAAAAGAAATATCCCAGACCTCCAAGAGTATTCTATGTCGTGTGAATGGGCATCCAGGATGATGTGGTTGAAAGATGGGCAAAGCCATTCTCCCTTGGGAAACCATCTGCAGCACTGAAGCCCCTACGGATCACGAATATAGACAGCAAGTAGAGCTGCTATATTTGGTAGGTATACCTGGGGCAATTCGTTCTCACTGTAAGAGTGAAGAGTGCTGACTAGTATGGCACCTAGTCTATCTCGAATACATTGAAGCTTGACCGGCATGAGAAATTCCATAAAATTCCCCAGATAAACACACGGATGACAAGGGTGCCACATGTAGCAAATGCTCCAGGAACGGCTTGTTGAAATGACCCGGCTCGTACAGTGCCTCATGATCTTGTGCTGTACCCATCTTGCCACTGTCCAAACTGTAAGGAATCATAGCGGGACTGTCAGTATCAGTAGATGGTTTATGATCCAAGAGGGATCGACCATGACCATGGCATCAATTTGGACACACACACACACACACGCACACACCGGACATTTAGTCCATCTGAGCGGTCAGGTCCAACTCTGCTTGTGGTTGTGGCCGACCTTGTCGGGTTGCTGTAGTGGCCGTTCAGAAAACTTCGACAGCGATTGATGTGGGATTTGTATAACCCATCCAGTGCCAAAGCATCAACTCAAATCCATCCAGCAAGGATGAATTGTGAATAAACACAACACCCGGCACACCAAGCCCTACCCCACCTGGTTTCCCACCTCCAAACGCCTCCCAGCCACCCTTCTGCGGAGGCAGAGACTGAGGAGGAGTCGCCCGGCCAAACGAAGTGGCCCTGGACAATGTAGGAAGTTATAGTAGGCTAAATGTGTGGCGCATGTGTGGATGTCTGTAAATGTAACACATGCGCCACAAAAGCATCTTGCCAAAGAAGTGTGACGAGACATCTGCAATTCCGTGACGGGCCTTTCGCTGCAATCCTTTATAACAGCATGAGCTGTAGGTTCAAAGTGCTAATTCTTCTTTGCTATTGGTAAACATAATGTCCCTGTGCAAGGGGGCCACACTGCCACACCCCAGTTTTATCCGAACAAATGTAGATTCTTCTAGCTTCACTGTCAGCCACCTTTCTGCCAATAACATAGTGATCATTTGCAACACAGTGATCGCTTCGGCCTGCCTCCAGTGCCGGGGGCGACTGATGGAATTGACCGAATGAACTTGAAGCTGGAAAACTGGAGGGTGAGGAACAGCTGTCCTGTCGTCTAGTCTAGCCGAGCGGATATATACTCAAACTGGTTCTTCCAGAGCCGCAACTCTCAGCATGGGGGATCAGAAGAATTGAAATCCAGCAACAAGGAAATCGCGGAAATCGGTAGATTCAGGGTGGAGAATGTCAGACGTTTGCAGAACCTGAAGTAGAAGCTCTTTTCTCAGATTCAAGTCTGACTTCCAGTCTCCAAGCGGGACACCTCTCTTCAACCATCCCAAGACCTGAAAAAGGTACCATCATCTCATCCGGTGCCAAACTGAACCCAGGTGGTGCGCATCCGGTGCCAATGAGTGGCACAAAATTGACAGACGACATACGCTACTTTTTCTTGGATTGGCCTCAGGAACCTGGAAAAAACATAGACATATGATGACACATTCCATCATATTCCCCAGAAGGGGATTTAACTATAGGGAAATATACAATGACAATTCAATATCACCTTAAGCAAAACTAGGATTTGGGTCTCCACCATGTTTCCACCAATCCGCCATTTTGGCCAAAAAACGTCAAGCGACCGGAAAAACCGCCCACCGAGTCATGTGGAGATCCCCGTCCTCCTCCGAGCTGCTCACCGACTGGACGAAAAAACATCGGTGCGTCGGTGTGTTGTTTGCTGAGGACGAATGGACCAATTGGCCATAAATGGCCTCGTTTTTGGTTGTTGCTAGATGCAAACAGTTGGACTGATGACTATACGATGGTCAACTGGGTAGAGAAGTGAGTTGTTGGCCATTGTTGTGTTCGATAAAGACTAGTCAACGAAGAATGTTGTCGTCGAGGTCGTCGTCATTATTCGAGCTAAGTCTCACTCAAGTTAAAACCCCCAGTTAGGTGAGGTAGTAAATATTATCCCTCTCTACACTGCTCGATGCTGTCCGCATGCCTCAAACCTGAAGTTGATGATCGGATGAAACAACAGCAAGTTCCTGGACCCTGCCTGCACCCAATGCGCGTGATGTTCCTGACAAGTCAGGCAAGTGCGCATGGTGTCCGGTGCTGAGCGAGCCTGGTCAAAGGGTCGGGTAGGTACATGTGTTTTGCTGACTCAGACCGATTCTGCAGGTCAAAGCAGAAAAGAGAAGACAAGTTCCCAGGGTCTGTGATCAACCGAAGGTGCCTCCCAAAATGCCCTACAGTCAAAGAACAAATGCACATTGGCCTGGCTGTGGTATATCAATTATCAAGTTGTGTGACTCCGAAAAAGAGCTGAAAGAGTGGGAACCAACCCTGATATACTATTGGAACCACTTCAAAGCCTCAGCTGTGATGAATAGTGGAGTTCTGGTCTGACATCAAAATCGCTCAAAAATGGCTCATCCTAGATCAAAAAAACATCAGTCCAGCCAAGCACAGGTTTTATAGACCTGAACCTCTTGGACCTGAGATGAAGTCCTATAAGTTCTCTGCTCCCACGGCGGGTCTGGCTTCGCGCGCGCGGTCGTGGCCTGGCCTGCTCATGAAATCGAAATGCATGAAAAGCACCGGGCGGCCTAGTGGCCCACAGAGCAGTGGATGATGTGTCCGTCTCCCCCATGTCATAGGGAACACCACCGGATGTCATGTGTGGAACACACAACGCCAGACCTAAGGAACCACCACGCGAGGACGACGTGTGTACGTGCTCTATATGGATTCACTTTGGTTGTGAGTGGTTTTGAGCCAGATCGACAATCGTTCCTCACTCGAGGCAGTCCAGCCAGAAAAGTCTTCGTAGGATCTGGTGGGGGAATGTCCATACGACACCATATGACAACCACTTCCCAAGACTTTGGTCACCAGGGCCTGTGTTGCAACCATTCATCAACATGAATCAATTTAAAAAAGCCACATCCACCGAAGTCTGGTCCCACTTCGCTGAAAAAAAGGGAAAACCGTCCGGCCAAACACCGTAGACGGTGCGGACCTCGACCCTTCGGTCTTGAAGCTGAAGAGCGCCGCCATGGAAGGCGGTGTCGAAGCGGAACGGCGGGTTACGCGCGGTCCCTCCGTCCGTCCGGCGGAGGGTGTCTTTTTGGTTCGGGATAGGGGTTGGTATTAAGCCCGGGGGTAGCGATTTTGTAGAGGAAATTCCAACCCCTATGGTCTTTTTGGGGGGAGGAGAGATCGCCGCCTGCTGGGTCCTACTGGGCAAAGGGGTTCCAAGTGGTTGGGTGGCGGCTGGTCCTGTTTCAGATTGTGGATGGTGGAACTGTGATGCCTTTGCTCAAGTAGATCTAGAAGGTACAGTGCCCTCCATCCAACAAACATAGAAGTGGAACATGGCCCCGAAAGGAAGACTGAATTCCTCTACAAACAGGCTGTATTCCACTTCCATGATTGTTTCAGGGAGGGTAGCTTGAAAAGCTTGACTTTTCAGGTGCTCTCTGTTGGGATGATATCTCAAGCATCACAAAAAGCCCTGTACACAAGTGATGGACCACTGTAGTTGCTGAAACTCTCCAGCATGGACTTTGATGACCTTTGGATATCACCCCAGTCGTCTTGCTCAAAGATGGCCGCTGCGAGAAGAAATCTTGCAGAAACATGGTCTTCCAGGATGTCAAAGAGGCAAAGGACGCAAACAAGAAATCAAGAGGAACATCCAAGGTCTTCACGTTGCTTGTGGATCTTTCAGACACAGACTCAGACTGAGGGTGTCTAACTGCCGGTGCCGCACCGGTGCCCCGAGCACCACGGTGGTTTTCTCGTGTCTTCGTGCCGCGACGTGGACGAAGGGATCAGGTCGAAGAAGCCACTGTGGCGCCCGGTGCTCTGAAAGACCTCTAGTAACAAGGGCATTGTAAACTACTTATATCATAGCAAAGAGCTACTACAAACGTAGCTCCTGGCATTACTACTAACAAGAGGACGCTACTAGTACAGAAAGACTGGAGAATGCCGCAAAAATATCCCGAAGTCCGGAAGTGGTGACTGGTGACTGGTGACAGACGAGAAATGTCCAGCTCGAAGTAGCGTCACTGGAGCGGCCTGAAGACACCAACTGTTTGACCCGAAGGAAAATGGTTGAACTGCATGGTTGAACCATGGTTGAACCTAACACAACCCTTCTGCCTCAGCAATCTCTTCGGTCAGGGTTTCGGAAAATTGTCGGACGATTTGGTTTGGAAGGCTTGAAGGCTCGATGAACATTCATCAGACATGTCGGTGCCGCTCAAGCCAAATCATTGAACCAGTCACAATCTCCAAACCTGACACCTCGCACCCGACTCCACATCAACCTCACAGCAGCGGCCAGCATTCCAAAGCATTTCCATCATTTCCAGCGATTTCAGCACACAGTCTGCAGGCCGAATGCATCGCCAAAGCCTGGTAGCTGGCGTTCGTTTGAATGGATCAATATTAAAGGCGCCCAAGTAATAAGGTGTGTAGAAATAGATAGGAGACGGAAACGGGTAGGTTTTCTGCGTCCAGCCAATGAGAACCTGCTGTGGGGAGGTAGCAAGAGGAAAGGTGTGGACATACACACCATGGTCAGTTTCCTGTTTTGCAACCCCTGCATCTCATAGTTCGTTCGCAAACAAATCCAAAGAAAAGGCCACGATTTGGGCGGGCTGTTGACAGTTCAAGACTCTTGAAGCCTCAGTTTCTGACAGCTCTGACAGCTCAGGCCACAAAGGCACGATCCAGCATCGCCTGGCCGTGAGATGAGATGAAACGCAAAAAAAACTCCAGCCATGGTGGGACACCTCCGTCTGGAAAATGGGAAGGGGAAACACATCTGAAAAAAAAATATATATATATATATAACATAAAACTCTGGTTCCTCCAATTCATGAAGCACTCAAAACATCAATCTAACCTCTAACCCATCAATGCCATTCGATGTCAAAGATATTGGAATTGCAGCATAGGATCGCACTTACAATGAATCATTCTTCTATTGAGAGTATACCATCACGGCAAAAGCCTTGGCCATATCTCTATATAAAAGATAGGTTGCTGACAAGAAGCGTGCAAAGCCCCTCGCCCTTTGACCCCCGCTGGCGCCATGGCCATCGGACGCCTCGGGCGATTCTTCTTGGGACAACTTCTCCGCCAACTGCCTCACCACCTGCAGCTGGTGAAACAAAGATGGAGCAACTCAGTGATGCACCTGATCAAAGTAATTGACTTTCTTCTTAAGGTTCTGGTGTCTGGCAAAGAAGGATCCCATCAAGAAACCTTAGCCCTTGAAATTAAAGTAGAGGGTAAGGCATATCTCTCCAACTCCGAACTTCAGCCAGAACCCGTAACGGTATAGTAAATTTATATATTTTTACTTGTTTCCACGTTGGATTTTCCACGGTTCAAACGTAAGGGTCATCCAAAAACCGCTGGATGCACATCTTCGGTTCTCCGCCTCAGCCTCGTCTTCCTCTTCGTCAGGCAACTGGCCAGCGGATCCGTGAGCGATCAAGGCATCCGGATCCGTTTCGGACTCACCGACACCGGCATCGACAGGAAGCTGTTTCTCCTCAAACCAGCGACACGATCGCACTGTCACATCGCATGGTGTCAGACATAGTATGGGATACACAGAAACTTCAAGCTTCAAACTCCACAAGACTCTTAAACGCGCTGACCCAGAGAAAAGGAGAAGAGTCCATATATCATCCTCACCTTTGTGTTTGTTGAAGAAGGATACTCTCAGCCCAAATTGCCAACATATGGGCGCGTCTAGTCTTTCTTTGTCTCTGACGCTTGCTCTTTCCCCAAAAGATTGACATGGCATCCACATGGCCTACACCAGTTACCAGGCATCTCACGTGGTCCCAGCCAGGCTACCTGTGATTCTGCTCTTTGGAATGGTCCCAGTGACACGACCCAAAGTCATCCAAACGACCTCCAACGGCTTGGCACCGGTGCCGGCGGGATGGAACCATCCCGCCTCCCAGCGACAGTCTCCGCGGCCCGACATGGGATCGTGTCCGAAAGGACCGGGGCGAGGCCCCGGAGCCTTTTCCGGAAGACCAACGCCGGTGGTGTTGGGTTCGCCCGAGCGGCGTGGCTGGGGAGCCGAATCAATCCAGTTCGGTCCGACCACCGGTTGTGCCTCGTAAGGGACACCATCGAAGCCGGTGCTGTAGTCACTGAAGTCCTGACAGTGCGTGATCGTGAAAGCATCTACAGCGATTATGTGGGTCAGACGACCATTAATACGTAGATTAGATTGATACAAACTCAGAGAATCACTTGCTGTTGGGGTACAAAAACCTCTTCTTCGGGCCCCTCAGTGATTGAATCCATCGTGCCATCCGGGAAGGCGGCTTCCCACCCAAGCCCGCCCGTAGGTACGCGGAGCCCTCCGGACCTCGCTCCTGGCTGGCCTTGTAGGTCCGTGCGGGTGGAGATTGAGTGCCATAAGTCGGGTTGGACAGTCGACCTGGTCATCGGTCCATCGGTGGTTGGGACAGCTCAGGTGGGACGTGGGACAGCGGTCCTCAGCTCCTTGTGAGCTTCTCGTCTCGGATTCAAGGGAATGGTCAGCCAATGTCGGCCAGCAAAAGCTAAGCTCTTGACACGTTTGATCAGAAACCATTCAAGCTGGCATAAGCTGCCCTGAAACTGGATTGCAGACCGCTATTCCTAGGTCAAACTTGACATCTGCCATGTCCATGTCCAGCATCCCCTGCAAGCACGGTAGTGAACCAACTCATTTCCTCCTCGAGACCCCCAATGACCTCTGGGTGCCAGGCCGACGTGAGTGCCCTGACTCAATGGAAGGTGTGCCTGCGGGGGGCGGTCAGTGGTGGCCTGTCTTCGTTGATGAGTCACAACTGAGTCACAAAATACGTTGAAGATGGATTTGGGCAGGACGCGAACGCCGCGCGGTCGGTCAGCTGCAGGGCACGAATACTAGTTTACGTCTTTGCCATGAGGTGATCAGGGCCAATCTACTCACAATGACCCTCACCAGGTTGGGTTCATATAGTCCAAATTGATCATGACATGGTGGATGTGCGTATTCAAACCAGGTCCAAATGGGGCTTCCCATTACCAAATCTCTTCTGAAAAGAAACAAAAAACACGCTTCCTCCACCGCCCGTTACCAAACCGCCCGTGGCCGAGACCGACCGATGTATTAGAGAAGCAAAACCACGGGGTCGCGGCGCGGGGAAACGGGTCGCGGGGAAACGGGTGTCCCTCACATCGTCCATGAATTTGCTGTTGATGCCACTCTGCACCTTCCGCCGGATCCTGGGCGTATGGCAGGATCCGACAGGTCCGTGGGTCGACGGGGGCCGTGGGGGAAGCCGGTTCTGATTGGTCTGCACCAGCGCGGATGCAGACCATCCAGGCATAAAGGCCCAAGGAAGCTCTGAAGCTGCCGAGGGAAGGACCTCATAGTTCTAGTATGTTCTAGTGGTTGGTGTGAAGATGGAAAGCGAGCTATGTGGCACCGCACCCAGCATGTGTTGGTTGTGTCTGTGGACTCCTACCAAACAACATTGCGCCAGGATTATATGGAAACATTGTCCCAAACTGGCTTCTATTACTTGCTACAGCTAAATCGCTCAATGCTTGCAGATGCTGTTCCTTGCATTTCCTTGCACTTGAAATTTACAAAGTCCTTACATGGGCACGAAAACCACAGAAACATGTTCCCTGCGAGCCGATGTGGCAGTAGCCACTGGCGGCTGTCCAGCCCGATCTGGGGCCCTCAGGCGCTGTTCGATTCAGCTCCTCGGAAATGCAAAGAAGTTCTCACACCTAATTAAGCTAAATGAAGGAGTTAACAATGGTTGACAGGATGCTGGCCTAGTTCCGTGCCCTGATTCTTATCCATACTCCAGTTCACATCGTAGATGAGATCATCCTGGAATGAATAGGATTTTGAGGAAAGCAATCGAATAAGCTTAGAGGACAATGTCCTAATGTAACTAATGTTTATTCTCAACCAAATAACACGTGGAAGCTTTGGAGTAACTTTAAAGGCAGCGAAGAAAATAGTGATGTGTTGTTGGCCGCAAAGATTCTACGATATTCTACGTATGTCTATCAATCTATACAAGCTGCAACTATATAGTTCAACGCCAACTTTGTGTATGTGTCAAGATCATTAAGGATGCTGCTCTGGATTGTGTGCAAAGCCTATTCTCGATCGTGAGAGTGGAATGAAACAGGCACCTACCCTAATCCAAAAAGATGATCGAAAGGTTGAAACAATGTTCAAACAATGTACAACACCTCATCCTGAGACGGTGCACCGGCCGTTCTCGCAAACGAAGTTTTACTTCTTCTTCAGCTCTCGATCTTGGTCCCGGAATCGCTTCATCGCCGCCCAGTCTGAGCAGTGGCTGTGGTTTCCCCATCGCAGCCACTCCTCGTCCCACTGGTCCAAACCATAGTGGACTCCCAAACCTGCACCAGACCGTCATTCGGAGGAGGCCAAGGTACCCTGAATTGGGGAAAAAGAAAGAAGCGCATGGATGTTCAAAGAGCTCCATTGGCAAGTCCATTGGGTTGTAAGGCTGGATTGATTTCCTGAGTCCTAGGAGTCCTAAGCCAAAAACTACTGAGCCTCTTAGAAGACAGGACCAAGGAAGCAGTTGCTCCAAATCTCTGAAGTTCTTGAGTCCACGATCAACTGCGTGATCCGTCTCCTTCACAGTCGCCCACGGCATTTGAAGAAACACCGGTGAAAACACAAACATACACAAACACAAACCTTGGAAGATTTCGGAGGGAAATACACATGAACGTGACAAATTCCAAAATGCAGAATTCACGCCGAACGCCGCCGATTCAGCCTCCCCACTTCCTGGAAGGGATTCTCTTCAGCCCTTCTGGACCCTACAGTTTGTGTTGCGATGATCCTTTCTAAACCACCTGCAGAAAGGTCGAAGAATCCAGGTAATACCATTGGTCCAATGCGCAGAAGGGCTGCTCTCCATCATCTCCCAGGCCCCAAAAACGCCTAGGATACCATTCTGCATCAGGGAGGAGAGGGACATGGCCTCAGGGAGACAGAAGTATCTTAGCATGAACATGCATGAACGTTGTTCGTGTGGTTCAAAGAAACGTCGCGAGTTGAAGTGGTGTACACACCTGCAGATATTGTGACAAGACATCGTGAGAGATTCTAGACTACAAATGAATGAATCCACTACTGTAAATTTCGAACAAAACGCTAACCATGTCTCAAAGGCAGGGTCAACCAATTAAGGCTCAACAATGCTCCCTCAGGATGATGATTTCTAAACCTTGGTGCTCCCCGTGCTGAAGATGTGGCAGGCAACTGCATATTGAACACACTTAGCTGTCAAAACAAGTAAAACACGAGCCATGCGGCATGCCGCTACACTTTCAACAACGAACAAGCCCGCTTGCGCGAGATCCACACAATCAACAATCTGCTCGCCTCTACAGTGGCGTACAGGAAGAGCGCAGTCCATAACCCACTTAGGATCAAGTACCTTACAAGCAGAAGCTCCAAGTCCCCAGCTCAACGTCAAGACGTTTCATTCAAGATCCTATTTGTGTGTCTGTAAGGTTCAGCAGAAATGTCCCGGGATTTCTTGATAGCACTTGGATTCAGCTTTTGGTCAACGGATAATCCAATATTCCCAGTGTCTTCGTATATTCTGCCTGATATGCAAACACCGTTTCAATGGCGAAGTGGTGAAATCAGATCAATCACCATGGCTCGTACATTGCAGTGATCTACCGAAGATGCTGCCCCTCGCACGCCAAGCGGAGACAGTCCAAACGCCATCAAACGCCCACCGCACCATGCCAAGATGTTGAAGTTCCCAGTGATGCCATTCACCAGCTGAGCAGGCTGATGGAGTCAGCCAGAATTCAAATGGCTACCGTTGAAACACAATCAATGACGGGCACAGGAACCACTAACAGTTACAATGTTTGCGGAGGTCCAGGTGGTGCAGGACTGCTTCATACTTCTGAACAGATTCAGCTTGTGACCGGGCTTAACATAGAGCTCATTGGTCAACTGGACGGGGGGGACACGGGGGGGGTACAATATTGAACTGAACTTCTTAACTCAGCCGATTCCAGGATATCAAAGCCATTTTCTTGCTTGTAGCTTGAAACCAACGCTCATTTCGAGAGGACTACCTACATACGATCCTGTAAGTCGTGACACGTGTCACGCGCTGTCCGCGCTGTCTACGACGCTCGCCGCAAGGACCTCGAGGTGGAAGAGGTGAAGCCCTCTCAGCTTGTCCTGCCAACCCGATGGAGGACCTACCAGCGAGACCTCTCTTCCACCAGCAGTCACGAAGGGTGTTTAGTCCCTAAGTGAGTGGATAATGGGCACCCCTAACCTCCATTAAGCACCCCTTTGTGACTGCAGGCATATACCTTTTTTGTCCTTCCGGGGTTCGGTTTCATCATGTTGGGTCGGGTCGACATGAGGGTCGGGTCAGGGTCGACATGGTTTTGTCATAAACCGAAACAACCGAAACCAAAAGTCAGGCCTAAAGTGAGTCATCGATTTCTGCGGTTGTGGAGAGGTGGCCCGAGCAGTGCGGAAAAGAGCAGTGGGAGTGATGCTTAGCTCGAGCTCTGCGAGCTCTGCGCTTCTGCGTGCTATGCGCTCGAGCACAGCACCGAGTGCTGAGCTTCACCGGTTCCTCAAACACCTGGACCTCAAAAAACTTGGACAGTGCACCTGGGAAAAAGAAGAGTCGTCCGGATGCTTGGAAGTGTTCAGTCCGGATGCGGGGTTGCCCCAGATACACCAACATCTATTGGGCACAGAACGTCCCATTGAGCAATCAACGTCCAAAGCAACACCATGCAACCCATAAACTTCATTGCTGATTCTGGGTGGTCGCAAGATCGCAGCCCAAGCATTTGAACCACTGCCACCATCTTCCATGTCTCCTGCACACCCACGCGCAGGGGGCTTGGAGGCAGCAGCCTTGGTTTTTGTCCGCAAGGTAAGTCGAAAAACAATTTTGGTGGTGCTGGTGAGGACCTTCAAAACTGGTGAGGACCTTCAAAATGAGTAAATACTAGTTGACACAATTCACAGTAGGGTGTTCCAAACAGCTGGAGTTGTCCTTTGGTGCCACATTTTCCGGTGGTGCCTATGTGCAAACGCATCATCAAGGAATCTTTGTCATATTTGACATCCTTGACACTCCACACCCTATGGCCTAATTCCATTGTCTTTGTTCGGTTGCGGCGAGAGAGGAACCATGAAAAGACCACGCCGATTGGCATTGGTGTTCCGCCTCGAAACCTAACCGGTAGAGAAAGGTCCGGTTGGTAGGGGTCGATGAAACCACCCAGGTGAATCAAACAACTGACACTTTAGAAATCTTTAGAATAGCTCAAGGATTACTGTAAGTTTCAACATGACCTTCGAAGATCCTCGAAGGTATAGTAACGTTCCGCATCTCAAGAAAAAGCTTCTCTAGCATTCCGTGCGAGTATTAAATTGCACGTCTCTCCAGAGTTTCCCCTGAGTTCGAAAGGATCCCGATCACAAGATCCAATGATTCAACACCTGACTTTGCCCAGCGCCAGTTCTAAGGTGTTGGACGAGTTCAGCACGAAGTTCATCATGTTCGTATCGTACCTCGTGATTCAAAGTGGACTCTGTTCAACATGCGTGGACTGCTAGAGTTCAATCTCTCGGGTGCAAGGCCCAGGCGCAAGACCAGTAGTTTGTCACCGTAAATGACAATCTACTTGATTATAATTTGCCATGGTGTTTTCGTGTTACTTGACCGTACAGTACCCGCTCGACCGTGTCGCCATGTGTACGCAGCTCTGGTCCAAGGCCCATGGCCCATAGGAAGCATCTATGTCACACGCTCTGTTTTTAGCCCGTCCACATCCATGTCGAGCAGTGAAACAGAGGCATGTGCTTTGAACAGAAAACACTGGTGTGATCGTGCCCTGTTGCTGAGAATCCAGCTGGTATGGTTCCAAATTGGTCCTTCATAGCAAAAACCAGCAAAAACCCTTCGTGCAGTGCGGCTGGCCATTTTCCAACAGCTGGCACCTGGTCACCGTGGTCGCTCTGGAACCCCAAAAGCGCTCCGAGCAGACGGTGGACCAGTGGTTTTCGGGTGGTTCCCCAACCAGTGGTGTTCTGGAACCCGACCGATCCAAAAACGAAGAAGACCTATAAATCGTTTGCAAATGGTTTGGTTTGGGTCTCCAAACCAATTGGTGTAACCTGGATTGTGTGGGCACAAATCATAGGAAGATGACAAGGGTTTCCACGGAGAAAAACGCTCTATGATATGGCATCCACGCAGGGAGGAAAAACAAAACAGTATTAGAATGTATAATAAACGAATACATAAGACATCATGATCATAAGACAGTGTAATGACATTATACTGATACAGGCCATGGTGCCCTTGCTTAGTTGCATAGGTCAGGTTTGCATGGTTTGTCTTACATGAGGGGATTTTAACCAATCGCTGGACTAACTCATCTAAGAAATCTACCTTTCCAAATATTCCGTTGTGAGGTCTATGAAGGGTGTTTGAGACACCCTTTTGCTTTGTGGTTTACCCACAGACCTTGGTGGCCAACACCTGGTAGAGGACAAGCAACTCCAACTCCCCGTGGTTTGCCCAGTTACAAACTGTGTAGTAGGTAGGTGTCGGGTCTGGGTGGTTGAGGCAAATCTCAGGATGATCTTGTGCTCTTTCACCTCACACAGTCGCAAAGGATCACCCGCACAGGCTGAGAAGACTTGGCCTTGGCCTCCACCAAATGCCAGACCTCCTCACGAGCGACGTTGGAGACCAACAACAAAACACCTCGATCGTCGCCATGCCATGTCATCTCCAAGTTCTCCAGGAGGTGCCCCTTTCTGTCTTCAGGACGCGAAAAGCGGTAGCGTAAGAGTCCAGCGAGAAACCGAACATGCCTTTGGTCCAATTCCCCTTCCACCTCCGCAACACCCATGCTGGATAAGCGCACCTGGATATGGACGAGTCTCAATAGATCGTTGGGCGACATCTCTGGAGCGGAGGTCAAGGTCAATACTCCCATCCGAAATGTCTCGCATGCTGCATCTTCGGTATCCCAGTCAACGTCCAAGAACATGAGAACGCGGAACACGTCCATCAGTCTGAAAGATGCTGCATCATTCAAGGCCAGCTGGCCTGCCAATTCGCGGCTCATATTCGCAGGAAAGGAGTGACCCATGACGTTCACACCGCCGATCCATCCTCTTTCATCAGACTTTAGCAAGCAAATGGCCTTCGGCCTTTCAGCCACCCTTCGCGTGGCTGCAAAACATGCATGCTCAATCCAATTTTCATGCAGCACGTGCTTGAAGCACATCATGACCGGTCCTCTCTTCAACTTCTGGAGATTCATCAGGTCTGCGGTTTCTGTCTTCGCTCTGAGCCGGCCATAAACACGGACAAACCGGCTCGCGGACTGAGCCTCCAAGGGCGGGAGGGCATCTTTCACAAGCTTAGATGTCTCACGTGGGCCAACCTCCTCAGCTGTCTCCAGGGTCCAATTGACATTAAAGTTTGGTGAGTGAGGGTCAAAGGCAGAGTCTTGCATCGCCCTAAGGAACTTCCCAGTGTCTGGGAAGCGATCAAGCCACAAGCCCAATTCGTATCTGGTGATGGCCAACTCAGACTCAGATGCCAACGATTTGACCAAAGCACTCCGGTCCAAGTCGACCTCTGGGAATTGCACGCTGCGGAGCTGTACAAGATCACCTGGATCCCAAGAGGCAAGCTTTCTCAAAGCATCTTCCAAGTCCTGCAAGCTTTCCTCCACCCTTAGATGCAAGCTACCCAACTCTGAGCCAGCCAGGCTCCGCAAAGTGACAGCCACCGACACATCTGCCTCAACAGGCTGCAGAGTTGCCTGGAGCAGTGTGTGCTGCCATGGCGCCATGGAGGAAAGCAAGCAATGTTCACACGCGGGACCTGGTTTTTAGACCCCGGGCATGTGAGATGTTCTGGGCATTTCTGGGGCACCTGCTGATCCTCGAAAAACACCCCCGTTCCAGAAACTGAAGGTGAATATACTCCTATCTTGCACACGGCGTGGGCTACTGGCATCTATCCCATGCTCCCAAAGTGTCCAAGCAGCTTTGTTTGAATGAGAGCCACATGTTTGGTTGACCTGGCATGAACGTGGCATATGCCTGTCAAGTTGGCTACGGAGAGTAAGCTCATCAATCACAATGCTGGACCAAGCAAATCATGTCCCTTTGGTCTCGCCGCAGGCACTAGGTGTCCAATATAGCTTTCAGGGCTCCTTGGTCTGATGTCCTGCACAAAAGATACACAAGTCACCTGGCCAGCGTGCCATCATCCGCGCGTTCTTGGGGGCTTGGTCATTGGTCCCCCCAGTCCAACAACTCCAGCGTCGCAGCGCACATCTCACAAGCATGCATGAAGGCCACGTCGAAGGCGATGACTCCCAAACGAACTGCCGTAGTGGCCTGCGGCAACATCATCATGCCAAATGGCTGGCTTGGTTTGGGATTACCAATTAGAACCCGGGAGTTAGGGACATGAACATACATGAACTGCAGAACCATGATGTGAACCCGTTTTTTGGAGCCAAACAACAGAATTCATGGCGCGTGATGTCAGAATCCCTCACCATCCGAGTCGGTTGGTCGATGGGCTCCCGTGCCAGGAGGAAGAGGGCAAAGCGCTTCATCGGGGTGTCGTCCCTTGGAAAGCCATGGTGGTGGTGATTAGCTGGAAGAACAACAGAAAGACTGAAACTGAAAGAAACAGGAACACACTACTTTGACGGCTATAAATCTACACACCTCCATGCAGATTTGGAGATTGCAACCGCACAATACGAGAACGCTTTCCCTCCGTCTTGAGGCCGCGGGCCCATGGTGTGCCGCATGGAAGCCCAAGGGGAAGAAGATGATGCCACTCAAGGTGAACTGGCGAACGAGGCTGAAAACAACTGGTGGAGTTCGAATCCTTAATTAGTTGAGCAACTGGTTAGCCAATCTGTTCCCCCCGCTTGGATTCAGGCACCCTGCTTGGTAAGCCGTTGGTCGATCATCATTCTTCGTCCATAGGTTTTGTAGAAAGAAAAGAACATAAATGCACCGCGCCGCACGACTTGGAACGGTCCTTCCTCCAACGAGCGAAGGAAAACAACACAATGACTGTGAATAAAGTTGGCCCACGTCAAAAGGAGTCTGTTGTGGTCTCTTGATCTCGCGTGTGATTGGTGGGACTGCTGTATACTGCTCATCCGACTCCACGCTCCGCCGGCTCGGCGCCAACCGGCCGAGGGCCACGGCCACCGTTCGGCATGGTGAGCATCGACCGGTGAAGGCGGTGCTGAAGGACACCGCTACATCTTGCTACGCTTCAGGCGGCGCTTCTTGCTACAACCTGGTCGAAGGACACCTTTTTCACGAAGGTCGCCATGAAGATCCATGACGGGTCCAGGTGCTGCAAGAACGCCCTCCGACTGGCCATTCCTTCTGTCGCTTCTGGGCATTGCCATTCTGGATCTTCCGGTTCATCTGCCCTTCATGTCATCTTGGACCGACTCATCTGCCATTCGGACCGAGTGCAGAAAAGGAATGGGCATGGACATGAAATTCATGTTGATCAGCATTTGTTAATCAAGATAATCAGGATTAACCCCAGAAACTCAACAAAAAATCAATGAGTTCCACACTACATTGATGTTGTTGCAACTAGTCTGGCAAACATTGAGCCTTTGGAGTTTGGACTAGTCATGCATGTTCTTCAAATACCAAGAGGGCCTGTTACAAGTGGTGAACCCATTCCCGGGTCGTCTACCAAATCACACCCTCACAAGAGGCCCCCTTGTTCTGAAACTGGTGGTGTAATACCTAGGGCCTGGGGCCTGCAAACACATAAACATATATAATCATATATACATCACTTTACAACATATAACATGTCATTTGGCCATAAACAGTTAGATTTTATGTGCTTTAAGATACAACAAAAAATCCCATGACCCATCACCCTGTCCCATGGCCCATCTCCCCACCAGTGGCTCCATGATGTGAGCCGTGGTGTCCTGGCGGATGGGAGATGGATTGGGATGCTGTCCAAAAATTATTTGATGGAACAAAAAAATCAAGTTATAATTTGGAAAGAACACCAATTAGACATGATTATAAATGTATATAAAATTGTATAAAATGATGAATTCGAAAAATGATCCAACTCCTTGAGCAATTGTTGTTTTCCACCCCACTTCCACCTGCCTACGAGGACACAAACGTCTAACCGTCAAGCCCGGCTGGAGCCGGGGGTCTGCCCGTGACCGCCCCTGGGCGATGATTGAATTCTCGAACGGTTTCGGCGGGGGAAACGCGAGCAAAACCGATGGAATTCGGTTCCAAGTCATGGGATGATGTCCTATCTTATTGAATTCTCCGACTTGGAAGGCGGATACTCTTGTTCTCCAGCATGGTTGCCCTAATGCTGAAGTGGATGGCATGGTCTGCGTTGGAAGGTTGTCCGTTTTCATGTTTGTTGGAGGAGTGTATTTGTGCATCCAGAGCTGCGTTCTGGCTGGAGATGTTTCATCGCAAGTTCATTCAGAAAACATGATACGAAAAACACAGAAGACACCTCCCGCTGTTTGGAAGCGAGTTTTGCTATTTTTGTTGCGTCCTTCATGCCGATGCAAGTGAAGATCTGGAAGCACTCATCACCAGTACAGGCTGCCTGCCTGAGCGAGGCAGAAAGTGGGCTGGTGGCTGGTGTGGGGAGGCAATTGGATCGGGGTGGACTTGGGATGGTTTTTGGATGGTGCCGCACCATCTTCAGTATCGGACCTGCGCTACCCTGCGCGAAGCTACAGGACGCTACGGGTGAAACATCATGACCAAAAATGCAAATCATTCTCAAACCCTTTTTCGGGGTATGATGGTTGCTTCTCTTAAGACTCGCCACAAAGTCTGGCCTTACACAGAAGCCGCGTAGAATCTTCACCACTAGGACAGAAATGTGTGTCCTTCTCAGGAAGCACCCGGACTTGGAGGAAGCCGGACTGCGGATCACAAAAACAACATGCAGCAAGAAAACATAGATGGACTGTGGAACCGGTGAAGGTCTGGAATGAGATTGTATAGTGATAAAACGAAAAGCCAACCTCAAAGGGCAGAATGCCCCACTATAGAATCACATCTCAACCTGTTGCAGTGCTGAGAACCCGTTCCCTACAAATTGGTTCAGCTCAACCGTTTGAATCTTTTTGAGCAAAGCTATTGCTTTCATCAATAAATGTTGATGCCAAAATTTGGGAAAGCAATGATACACATCCAAGGTTGAAGTTGATTCTATAGAGAAGTGGGGGAATATAAAGGTTGAGATTGATTGTAGAACATGATTGGACAAAAGCGGCCCAAGAGGTTGATTGTGATTTTACAGAGACATGTTTGGACACTGCAGGGTTGAAAGTGATTTTAGAATAATTTAGAAGAAGGTTACGCAGAAATGCAAAAACAACAAGTCCATGTTTTAAGAATTAATTTATAGAGGGGTGATTGTACAATTGAAATCTAGAATCCCAACACTCACCGGACATCCCCGCAAAGGATGATCGAATGATGTGGAATACAAATGCACTCTCACAGTGCAACACCAAAGAATCATGTTAGGTCATGATGGCACTCTCACAGTGCATGTTCATGCCTTCTATAAAAATGGAATAGCTCAACCTATTGGGCATCATGAGCTTCATCAACTTGTGAATGCACAGGTATTTTTTTCGGCTAGCTTTGTTCAGGTAGCTTGATATATTCTAGAGAAAAAAGTGTCTCTAAAATATGATGGTCATGCTGAGCTCGACCTCCCAGATGGTCATGCAGGGTGTATTCGGCCAAACCATCCCCGCGCGTTGGCGTCTCCTTGGGCACCCTGGCGTCTCTTGGGGCACCTTGGCACCCAGCTGAATGAGCCAACTGAGCCGCAGAGGTGAGGGAGGTGAGCTGTAGGTCCGGTCCCTACTGGACATGGGGCGACCGAAACAGCTTGGACTGTCGCTTTGCCACATGGGATTGCTATCTAACAGACTGCCAAAGGGGGTCCGAAGGAATAACGTTATTTTCCTTGGATAACTTACTGGCTTGCTTGTCATGGTTCACCAGCTTCCTGTACACATGAGAGGACATCCACAACTGATGGAATTCTTTGTTGTTTGCCGGCAAACCACAGGATCGACCTTCAACACGACTGGAGGGACAAATCTGAAAAATGTTCATGAACAACTGCGAAGTACAGTTGCTCCCTCATAGCGAGGGCAATTGTCCACCCAGATCCACTAAAAAGATCTAAAAAGCACTTCTGGTTGGTGTTTTGAGCCCACTTGAAAAACATTAGTCAGAGGGCCCAATCATCCCCAAGTAAGGGCTGAAAATAAAAATCTCCGAAACCATCACCTAGCACATGTTCAACCGTTTCGGCACTACCTGAATGATCTGCACGACGACTCTCTAACTGGTGCGCAGCTTAGCCGTCTGGCGAAGGGTAACGTGAAAGCTCTACCGGTCAACCTCTACTTCAACGGGATAAACCCCCCACAACCACAGATGAACCTGAAAAAAACCCCACCACTGGATGGGTCGAAACACGGAAACCTGGTCGAAAGACGACCCATCCAGTGGAGTCGTTCCTTCGGAGCCGGTCCGTTCGGAGCCGGTCGTCTGTCGTTGCCCATCTGCAGCACCCGGAGACCAACGACGCACCAAAAGGACGCCCATCTGGTGATATCGTTTTGATCAAGTGGTTCGTCTCAAGTGGTTGGGGCACAAGAGGCCAAATGACTAACTCTGTGAGGCTAGGGGTGCGAATGGAAAGGCTGCTAGTGGAGCTTGATACCTCATTGGAGACCATTGAGACTATATAATTGGGAATCACTGGAACTCATAGGTTAATATTGGTTTATATAGGCTTTTCAATATTATTGGTAACTGATATTGGGTATCGGCTGCCCACTAAAAGCTCAGAATTGGTATCGGGTCACCACCCAAGTTGCTCCTGAGTGGCTTGTTTGCTGTGCCCCTCTGTGGCATGGGTGTGTGTGTGTGTGGCATGGGTTGTTAGCTGCTCATGCTATCTGTTTTTGCTCACTATCCTGAGGGGTGGTCTTTGGCTGAGCCAATGCTAGCTCGGCCCACAGCCCACGGCCATTCGTTGGGCACAAACACTCGGTTTGTGCTGGCCATGGCTTCTGGTACCCAGAACACCAAATCTCGTGAAGACTGAAGGATGTCTTCACTTCAACGTTGTTAGTTTGTTCGGTGGCTCCCACTGCTGCTTGAAGCAGGCTTCCTTGGCAGCATCCTCTGAATACCGCTTTGGTATTTTGGCACTTCAACGGGGCTGCTATGTTTTGACTGTGTTCAGATCACTTTGGGGTTTCTGCTAGGCCTTATTAAATAGCATGTTGAAATAGTCAATGCGATTGCATGGGCTTCATTGACATTGTCGATGATGTTTAAGCTGGTGTTTATCCCTGCCCTTTGCCAGATTCCATGACGATCTTAGGGCATGGCTAAAGGATCCGCGCAGCGCAGACCATGCTCATGGCCAAGCATAGGCTCAAAATAAAGTGCCTGATCTGGGCGGTGAATGTCTGCGAAGCAACCCCAAAACAGATACCATAGACATCCGTAGACATCCGTAGTCACTTTGCTTTAAGAGGTCAACAGCTCGGCCGTGAAACGAGGCCAAAAGCCATGCGTCGTTTGCTCCGCACTCAGATCTCACTGGTCATCCTCCCTGACTGGTCATCCTCCCTGCGCGCAGGATGCGGTGCGTTTCCCAGCCATGCCTGCGGCTACAGCACAGGGAGGCTCCGAACCTCAACGAAATCACGTCGTCGTCGGCACAAGACCACCCGCCTCACGGGTGGACACCGGACAATCGAAGGGGCGGACAGCGTGCCGGGAAGCGCCGGGCATCAGATGTTGATCCCCTCTCCTATATGGTGCTCCTTTCGGAACAAACATCCACAAGACGCCCAAGCATCCAAGCATCTGCCATACACTTTCAAAAATGGAAGAAATGCGTTCAAATCGTTCCAAGGAGGACCGATTTGAAATTTTGACTTGAGTTCTCTTAATTATGTACCATCATGATCTTAACAACACCAGTCCTTCTTGGCTCCTGACGCATGACTCTCCCCCATGGTGTCAGGGTCTGTCTACACCAGGATGTGGTCCGATGGATTTGAACTTGATGACTGGCATCTATCTTCTCACAAAGGAGTCCCGCCAAATCATCAGAAACTGACTGCCTGCTCCTTCGGACCACAGGGATTCGCTACCTGATTAAGCCACTAAAGGCTGATGGGATTCGCATTGCTTCAACTGGGATCATCTCTGCCCGCATCACAGGGACGTCGCGCACCCGTCATTAATCCACTCCTCGTAGGTTTCGCTTGAAACAAAGGGCCGAGGGAAAGCGAGTTGGGCCGTAAGAAGACACATGGGGCATAGTCTGAGATGAAAGTCATCATGGGACCGATGAGTCACAACCAGCTCTCCATGCCAGCTCTCCTTAGCTCTCCACGCTCACTTTGACTCCTTCTCACTTGCGGTTCCCGGGCTACAAGCCGAATTTTGCGTGGTCGCCCGGCAGTCTTTGCCCGGCCGGTGAAACTAAGACCAGCTGCTGGGATTTGCTGAGTTCAGCACGGAAAGACACACACTCCTACACACTGGCAATGGCAGCAATTGTTCAAGGCAAAAAAAGTGAATCCCTGATTTCGAACCTCAGCTGATCTGGACTTCGTCGCTCATCATGTGGCCTTCACTGTGGACTGAGATCCACCAGGGCAAGAAGTATACGAACTGAGCTTCTTCATGGTGGATGGTGGGGTCATAACAGTAAGGTCATCGAATGGCATCGACGTACGTACTCAGGATCTTGGACCGCTGCGTCTCAACAAGAGGAAGATCTCTTGGACCGCCGTGCGTTGCTATGCGTTGCTATGTTTCATTCTCCACCTGAGCACTCACCTGTGCCTCTCTCATTGTTCTCACCATCAAAAGGCTCTCCGAAGCGGGTCCTCATCTATGAACTCCAGTTGCTGGACACCTACAGATCCTCCAGGTCCCCAGGGAAACTCCCAGTTCTGCCAGGGATGGAAACATCAGCCTCTCTTGATACAACAACAGGGTTGAACTATATAGAATATACAGTGGTTTCAGAGTAGATGGCACAAACCCCTACATGTCTTTCAGATGGGGGGTCCACTTTGAACCACCTTTTGGGGATTGTGCCATCTACTCTGAAACCACCGTAACCTTTCTGGATCTTTCTGGACTAATAATAATTGCAGTGGACCAAACATCTTAAACCGGTTCGCAGGCACAAGAGTCTCAACTGTTCTGAAAGAGAGAAAAAGAGAGAGAGACGATTCGGAAGAGTGAATTTGGTGAAAAGGTGAAATTGGATGAAATTGGTCTTCTCCTCAAGCAAATTTACTGCTTCTCACAATCAGGCCACAACGCTGGTAGAAGGGAACACAGAAAAAAGCCACTAACTTGTTGGTTCTTCGTTCATCCTCAATGGTCGACGTCGTGTCTCCGGTCCAGCCAATCCGAAACGCCTCCCGTCTTCGCCGCCCTCTGCGGGGAGCCTTAAGTGTTTGGAAGGCGGGCAGGAGGAGAACTGGGCTGTTTTAACGCCTGGCTCTCCGAACGAGAAGCTGCTGCGAGTGTCCAAAAAGAAGCTGTGAGCTGCGGGGGTGTCTACTGCAAAAGCTGCCTCTGCAAAAGCTGCGGTTACATCGCTTGTCCAAAGTGTGGACCTCCAGTGGATCTCTTCATTGCAAAAAAAAAAAGATATCAATCTGCCCTCTATGGAGCAAGTCACATGATCCAAAGCTGTCACACTGGAAGACGGGAACTTTCTCATGGAATATCAATCTGCCCTCTTCAACCCTTTCAGTCCTGTTTTCCGCCACGACGAGTAGGTCTCTGACCGTGCAGCTCTCGTGACCCTCCCAGCCCAGCCCCCAAGTGCAGCACCCCGGCAGGTGGCAGCGGTACCGCCGTCTGCGAATCGCTGGAGAGATAGCTTGGACAAACTGTCGGGTCACTTTATTAGTGCATACTATCTCTCCCGCTTGCATCCAAAAGTGAAAGGTGGAAAGAGCCTGTTGCCTTGTTGAATATTTTTGTATACCGTTATACTTAATTATATAATAGTCTCTAAATCACTGGTTTCGGGTGTTTATGATGAGTCTGGAACATTCCTTCAAGCGCGGAACATTCCTTCAAGCGCAGTGAGGCAGTTGCATGGACTGGTGGTAGTGGGGAACGCCCTTGACCATGAGCTACGACAGTTGCAAAACATCACTCTCTGGGGGGAACTGAGTGTGTTGGCGCTTGCAATAACTAGCTAATATAAGGATAAGCAAGGACTGAACCTAAACTACTATAACTATATGAGAAACAAATAGGGAAGGAAAAAAACACACCATCACCAGACATCTCCGAGATATTCCAAGACAAGTCGCCTCATATCCTCCACGACCTCAGTGTAATAGTGCTTTTTCACTCGAGCTTTTCAGCAGATTTCACCGTTGAGCAATTTCACCAAAGCATCGCGCCTTCGTTGAATCTTTCATTGAAACAGCTTTATTGTCATAACTACAAGTAACCAGGTTCCTATGCCCACTTCATGTCAATGCATTGCCAGGCTCCCGAGGAAAAAAAAATGAAGAAGGCACTCATGGTCGCAAAACTGTATGTTAAATTCTGCGTCGCCAGTTACAATACGCCGCGACGATCGTAGGTTCTGGTCCGTCGATCCTATGAATTGTGAACACTTGAAGGGCTGTTCTGCTGAGGCTTCCTGCGGCGTGGTCCCGTCCCAGAAGAGGCCCCTGAAACAGGGTGAGTTTATCCACACCAAAAACGGTCATTACATTGATGGAGAAGTTGAGGAAGTGTTTCTCATTTTAACCTGTGTACTCACTGTAGATGTCACAGCTTGGCGTATCAAGCCACATGTGTTTAACGCAAAAGCATGCAAACGCCGGCTGCAAATAAGCTGTTTGGGTCAGCATGACTCTAGCGGGACATCTTCAAGATGGGTGTGCTCAAAACTAGGGTGCATCCCAAGGTGATTGATAGAAGGAGAGGAAACAACAACACCCCCCCACGGCTTCACTTCTTGCTTGAGCCACATGCACATCTTGACTCTCTCTAGTTCTGTTCGAGTTGAAGTCCACTCCACCATTGAGTCCCTTTCCCACACTCCCCGCCTGCGCACCCTGCGCTTTGCCCCTCAGATCATCTGTCGATGACTGGACGCTCTGGTTGATCAAGGCGGGAAGAACTTCAACAAAACACATCGACAAGCCGATCTGAGAACTGAGGTTGGGCATCACAAGTTCCAAGTTCTGGGAGAGGGTCACTTCCAACGCTGTTCAAACGATGTGTTTCGCTACTTCTTAGACAGGAATGAGGACAACTCCTCAATATGCATCCCAGAAATAGAAGTTGCTGGAAGCTCAACTTGGATTTAGCCTATCATCTTCTTACCATCTTGATGCCAATCTGTAACTACTGATCAACTTGAAAAACGATCTCAAACAACCAAAAGCGTTGCTGAACGAATTGAAAGCAACCTTTTCCCACCCGGGCTCGGATCCCCATGGAACCTGCTTCGTTCTGAGCATTCAATGTTGACTTGGAGTATCCCAAACCTTTGATGCTGGAGGCCTTCTTAATCGACAAACCGATCCGATCTTCACCACAGAAACGATCTTCACCAAGCCACACTGATGTTCGAAAAGCCCCCTGGCGAGAGGCGAGGCAAGACCCACGAGGCAAGACCCACCATGCAAAAAACATTCCCTACTGAATCAGCAATAGGTACAAGGCCCCTAGGAAAGTGGCTGTTTCCACACGGAAGCGTGCATTGGCGTGGCTCATGAACAATTTCTTTTGTCAGCCAACGGATCGATTTCCAAATGCCAGTCATTGATGCTTGTTATTGTAGTCATCCTATGTCTATTGACAGGGTGACGTTGAGAATGTCAGTGGCTAGACTGTGGTAACTATAACTATAGTAACAAGAAGCTACTAGTAACAAGGTGCATCGCTACTAGGAACAAAGGCATCGCTGCCAGTAGCTAGAAGCTACTAGTAACAATATGTGTATATGTATATTATGAGTATATTCTTTATTAAGTCGATTCGCCCGGCCACTGGGAGTTTTGATATCGCCATATGTCGCGGTGGGACGCAGAACCTACATGCAAGCTGGGAATCAAGAAATGCACGCATCACGGTGGAAAGAAGGGAACTATTTTCAAGAACCTCCATGGGCTACCCACTTGGTGCTTAAAAATGCCTCTAACCGCTCGAATCCAACCGGAATCAGTAACCCACCAGCTCTCTTGTCATTTGCCTCTCTAATTCCGCAATTTGAACTTGTCAAAACAAGAACCCGTAAAAGACACCTCCGACTACCATGGAAAAAAAGTATGATCGTATTGAACTTGACTTCCTTCAAACAGAATTGCCCATCACAGCTGTGAGCCTACAGCAGCTGTGAGCATGGCAATCTCTTTGCCACAACTCCTTGCCCTTTCAATCCGGGCCATGTCTTCTAGGTGTTTGGACGTCTCGTGTCGCGCCGCCCGCCTAAACTCCCACTGGTGGAGGAGTCCAGGGTCGAACCTGTCGCCCAACAGGCTGTGCTGTTCACCAGTCACTGCCCCGCGCTGCTCGTCACCGTTGAAGAACATCGTCTGGGGCAACCGAGGTTGGTCATGGAACCCTATGGAACCAACCTGGAAGAGGCCGCCCAGGCAGCGAAGCTTAGAAGATCGAAGCTTGGTCTGCTTGGCTCGTGGACCATGGTGGTCTGGTCTGAGTGCTGCAGTAGAATGGTCGACCCATGTTCCTCCATGGTCGTCGCCCGGGCTCGTCTTCAAACACCGCTCAAGGGCTCCGCACCCGGGCTCGTACTTCGTGAGACGACCTGAATATGCTGCGGGTTCAAGTATTGTTGCTTGCCGCTGAATGTGTTCTACGTCTTGTACCTGTAGCATTCTCTACAACCTCTTGCTTCTCACAGGATAGCTCGTTTGCTAGAAGATCTGGAAGATAACCCTGAGGATCATCTGAAGCTTGTCTGGTCTTTCCACCTGATCGCATTCCAGCACCAGTGGGGTTTTCTCACTCCGAATCCATCATATTCTATCCGTGTTTCATCAG